TGGAAGAACAAACATTGTTAAAATGTCCATGTTACCCAAAGCACATCAATGGATTCAATGCCATCCCTACCAAAATACCACCAGCATTTTTCAAAGAACCAGACAAATAATCCTACGATTTGTATGGAAGCACAAATGTTCTTGAGTAGCCAAAGCAATCTCAAGAAAGAACAACAAAGATGGAGGTATTGCAATCCCAGATTTCTGGATATACTACAAAGCCCTTGGCGCGTGCGCACACGTGTGTGTGTGTGTGTGTGTGTGTGTGTGTGTGTGCATGTGTCCTCAGGCTGGATCCCTTGTCGAGGCACTGAGATACAGCTGTGCTGAAGACCAAATACTGCTCTGCAAATAACTTCCTTGTAGGTGAAGACCCTCACTGGATGATAGGTATATATAGATGTATATAGATACATATAGATATTTTTAAGATTTTTTAGTTTGGGAGAGTTTAGCGGGCCTGAAAAAACAAAAATTACTCTTCAGAAAAATAAAACACTTCTGTTTTGAATACATATCAACAATGTCTCATGTACAGTCAGAAACTGCTAGACTTGGCATGCCTGGTTGGCTGTCAGAAGAGCTGCAACTCGAGTTAGAGCCCTACATTGGCTAAAAAGAATACTTAAAAGTAAAATCTTGAGAGAAAGAAAGGAAGGAAGGAATTACTAGACTTTCACAAAGAAATAGGAAAATATCACCATGGGGAAAGAATTTNAGACTTTCACAAAGAAATAGGAAAATATCACCATGGGGAAAGAATTTCATTGACAGAAACTGACCAGAAGATGGCTCAGGTATTAGACTGAAAATGCAGAGACACGTCAGTAGTTATCATGAGGAAGTTTAAAGGCTTGATGGAAAAGCTGGACTTAGTGGTTGAAAAGATAAGACAATTTCTTAAAAATGACCTGAAGAAGGGGTGCCTGGGTGACTCAGTTAATCATCTGCCTTCAGCTCAGGTCATGACCTCAGGGTCCTGGGATCCAACCCCACATTGGACTTCCTGCTCAGCAGAGAGCCTGCTTCTCCCCCCTCCCTCTGCCCCTCTTGCCTCTTCCCCACACTGTTTGAACTCACACTTGTGCTCATTCTCTTTTTCAAGTAAATAACTTAAAATCCTTCTTAAAATATGACCTGAAGGAAATTTTAGAATGAAAAATCCAAAAAATTCTAGTGCCAAAAAGGAGTAGTAAAAAATAAAAGATATAGTCACAGGATTAAGAAAATAGAAGAAGCACACTCTAAAATAGTTGAGGATATTGAAAATTTGATTTTTAGAAGAAAAGAAGTAACTAGCAAATTAGATGAAGCTAAAGCATACAAGACAAACCAAGGTAAGGAATTGTCCCATGATGAATCACAAAAACACAAAGTCATGGGGAGTGGGGAAGAAGCCATAAGCAATACAGTTGATGGACGCAGAGATAGAGCATCCTACAGAAGTAACAGGAGGGAACAGAGACATTGCAGAGGATGAACTGGTCAAAGCAAAGATGGGAAAAGAATCCCTTTCAATTTAAAGAATAAAGTGAATATTCTACAAACCTCCAGAGAAGATGAAGGAGCAAGACTTGCATTGGCAGCAGACTTTTCATCAGCAACACTGAATATTAGTAAGCAATGGAGTTAATGTCTTCAACATTCTAAGGGAAAGTGATTTTGAATTTAAATTCTATATTCAGTTAAATGAGCATTTAAGCCTTAAGGGTGGTGAAGGACCTTTTCAGATATGTAAAGCCTCATCAAATTTACCAGCCAGAAATCATTTATGAAAGAATTACTGAAAGATACACTCCCACAAAATGAAAAAAGAAAGGAGGAAGATAAAAATTCAAGAAAAAGTAGATAAAACTAGTAAACTCAAAGCATGGAACTGGGGAGGAAACTAGTGATGGCTTGAGCTATTTGTTAAAAAGGTAAAGGTTGCTGAGCCAGAGAAGGTGAAGAACTTAGAGACTCAGGAGGAAGGATCTTTAGAGTGGAAAGCAAAACAAACCCTTGAGAGGAAGACGGCTCAGAGTTAGAAGAGGAGGGAGGCAGGAGGCTTGAAGCTGGGAAGAAGGGAGAAGAGGTGGCTTTGGAATTATGTGAGGAAAGGATTCAATCTTCCAATGCCATACTGCGTTAAACATGAAGCATGGACTTGAAGAAATGACCAAAGATGCCTTGGAGATTATTGTAACTAAAGAAGTAGAAGATTCTGAGCCAGAAGAGGAAGAAAGTTCAGGGTAGAAAATGGAAGTAGTTTTATCGTGGGACGAAGGAGAGGACTCTGAAGTAGAACATGTAAAGACTTGCCTTCCAGACTGAGAAAAGAGAGGTCTCCAATGGACTTAAAGAAATTGCCTAAAATTATGTGGCCTGGGACTCAGATGAAAATTGGTGAAACCTTGGATGGAACAAAAACCCCAGAAAAAAGAGGAAACAGATATGCTCATAAATCAAGAAATTGGGACAGTCTGTCTAACCTTGTGTTTGGCCTCTCCCTCAAAGTCACTAGAGATAAGTTCTGGTAAGCAGAATAGGCATTTATGTACAAATTTGAGTACTNTTTATATTGATGTGAATCTTGAATCTTTATATTAAACCTTTTCCTTCTGAAAAAAAAAAAATACTACAAAGCAGTAGTAATCAAAACAGTACAGTACTGCTACAGAAAGAGACACATAGATCAAAAGAACAGAATAGAGGCCCAGAAATAAACTCACACTGGGCACCTGGGTGTCTCAGTTTGTTGGGTGATTGCCTTCAGCTCAGATTATGGTCCCGGTGTCCTGGGATGGAGTCCCATATCAGGCTTCCTCTGTTTTGTGGGGAGCCTGCTTCTCCCTCTCCCTCTGCCTGCCACTCCCCCCTGCTTGTGGTCTCTCTCTGTGTCAAATAAAATCTTAAAAAAAAAAAAGTTTCAGGGGCACCTGGGTGGCTCAGTGGGTTAAGCCTCTGCCTTTGGCTCAGGTCATGATCCCAGGGTCCTGGGATCAAGCCCCGCATCTGGCTCTCTGCTCAGCGGGGAGCCTGCTTCCCTCTCTGCCTGCCTCTCTGCCTACTTGTGATCTCTGTCAAATAAATAAATAAAATCTTTAAAAATAAATAAATAAAAGTTTCAGAAATAAACCCACACTTACAGGGTCAATTACTCCACAACAGAAGCAGCAGCCATATGCAATGGTGGAAAAGACAGTCTCCTCTATAAATGGTATTGGGAAAACTGGACAGCTACATGCAAAAGAAGGAAACTTTTTTTCACCATACACAAAAATAAACTCAAAATGGACTGAAGACCTAAATGTGAGCTCTGAAACCATAAAACTGCTAGAAGAAAACATAGGCAGTAAGACTTCTGACACTGGCCTAGCAACCTTTTTCTAGATAGGTCTCCTAAAGTGAGGGAAACAAAAGCAAACTATTGGGACTACACTAAAATAAAACGCTTCTGCATAGTGAATGAAACCACCAACAAAACAAAAAGACAACCTACTGAATGGGAGGGGATATTTCCAAATGATGCATCAGGAGACGATATTTGCAAATGATGCATCTGACCAGGGGTTAATATTCAAAATATCTAAGTCAACACCAAAAACAACAATAACGACAAATACCTAAACATTCTGATTTAAAAATGGGCAGATGACCTGAATAGACATTTTTCCAAAGAAGACATCCAGATGGCCAAGAGAATCATGAATTTTGGCACGAGAGGATAAACGTCAATGGTCTAGGTCACATTGAGAAGCTAGGCTAGTTAAGGCATACAGCAACAAGGTCAAAGCAGGGAGCGGGTTATAGTTGTCAAAAAAAACTACTGTATTTAAAAAAAAAAAAAAGAAAGAAAAAAACCTACTGTATTTTAAAGGGAGACCAAGGTTCCTCATGAAGGAATTTAACTTTTGAGCTCCACACTGCCTCATTTCAACATTATACAATGACCTAACTTCTTCAAATCCTCCCCCATCCCAGCTGCTTGGAATTTCTGGAATTTCTCCTACACTAGCAGACAGGCAGTGCCAGCTTCCCAGCATTTTATAGCAGATGAACTGGACCAAAAACCTGCTGGATGGGGGAGGTCTATTTCAAAAAAAAGGAGGGACACAGAAAAGAACATGTGTATATGACACCGAGATCATCTCAGTCCACGATGGCCCAATGTCCCAATCCAGACAGCTGGCAGCAGAGGCTTGAGATTAACCTCCACCCCCAGGAGGGCAGTTGCCCACTATGGAGTTTTAAAACAAAGACAACAACAGCACCAGTCAAGGAACCAAGGAACCAACGTCCTAGCCCTGTCTGGATACCATCTAGCTGCACAATCATGGGCAAACGCACTCGGCCTCTCAGGGTGTCCTTTATACTATACAGTGAGCATCAGAGCCAAAGGTCTCTGCAGGCCCTCGTAGCTCCACACTGGGAGACTGCCACCCATCCGAAGTGGGGCTATGGCTTCCTGTTTCCATGCCATGCACCTCCCAGAAGTTCTCAGGTCACTAACACAAGCCTCCCCTGCCAGCCAAGGAGTCCCTCACCTCTCACACCTCACCTGCCAAGTCCACCTGGCACGGACTCCTGCCAAGGAGGCTGTTTGTTTGTTGTTTTGTTTTTGTTTTTGTTTTTGTTTGTATGGCTCATGACCCTACAAAAAGAAATGGCAGGCCATGGGGTGCTTGGGTGGCTCAGCTGGTTAAGTTTCCGCCTTCAGCTCAGGTCATGATCCCAGAGTCTAGGGATCCCTCTCCTTTGGCTGCTCCCTGCCACTTGTGCACGCTTGCACTCTCTCTCTCTCTCAAAGAAATTAATAAAAAAAATCTTTTGAAAGAAAGAAAAGGAAGGAAGGAAGGGGAAGGGAAGAAAAGGGAAAGAAAAAAGAAAAGAGAAAGAAAAAAGAGAAGAAAAGAAAAGAGAAAAATGGCAGGCCAGATCTCGCTAGCAGGTTGTGATTTGCTGACCCCTGGTTTTGACCAATGATGACTTACCCCCTTGGGACTGTAGGAGATGCCTACCTTTCCTGAGACATCACCACTGCAGACCTGGAGGGAGCTCAGGGGGAAGCAGGGTTTTGTTAGCTAATCAGGAATGTCCCCCACAACATATTAAGCATAGGGTAAGATTCTTAAGGATATAATCATTTTTAAAAAGCAGATTGCATGACAACTTCATGAAAGACACGCAGGCAATGTGTTATGGCAGCTCAGAGAGCAAATGCATCCCAGTTGTGTGGTCAGGAGAGTCTTCAGAGAAGGGGATACATTTGAGTGGAGCTCTTACTGTCTAAAACAGTTACTAGACAAATTCCACTTATAGAGTGCTCATGACCAAGCATTGTGCACATTCCCATTTCGTACTCACAACATCCTATGAAGTAGACACTTACAACTGGGAACACATAGGTTTGCAGCACAAATAACTCCAACCACCGAAGGCCCTTCTTGCTGACCTCTGAACCCCTGTCCTCACTGCCCGCCCCCACCTAATTCAGATTTTATTTTACACTTTCAAAACAGATAGAGGGAAAACAGAGGAAAAGTGTGATTATGAATTCCTTGCCTCTGAGGCCCAGCAGGGACAAAACCAGACTTCTCTGACCGGTGTTCATCCAGACTGCTGGGAAGGGAACCCCAGGGAAGACAAGGAAAGCCCAGGGTGCCCCACCCCCACATAGAACTCTGCAGTGAGTCCATCCCTGTGCTCTAGCTGCAGGCAGCATATGCTTAAAACTAAAGACGGTTTCACCTTAACATCTACATTTTAAAGCTTGAGCATTTCAGCAACAAACAAGCACAGAGAGCTCATCCCAGAAGTGAAAAGAAAGGGCTATTCCTCTGACATCTGGAACTCAAGCTGCTGTGCCCAGTCCGGCCCGCAGGCTCAGGCAGACACATGAGGGGGCGGCAGCTGGTTAGTTGAGCAGAATTTCCAAGCCACGGAAGATGGAAAGCCTTCCAGGCTCTCCTTCCAGGTTTCTTGCATGGACAGCAGAAATGCAGTCTGTGCTAAAATTACTAGCGTACGCGAGACTTCCGAACCATACCGAGACTGCTTGCTTCAGCCACGAGTCCCTCACAACCGGCGGACGTACCTAGTAAAGGCTCAGAAGCCACTGCTGAACAGAACTGCCTGATCAATCAAAACAGAAAACTCCCGCTGCCGGACGTGGTAATGAGGAGCAGAGGAGCCATGGCCTCCAAACATGGACTGGAACGGCAAGAAGCCCGACACGCTTAACAGTCGTGGGTCGTCGGGAAATCGGCTACAAGTGAGGAGTGACTAAAGTGTCCGCAAGTGAAAGTTCTATTCGGGACAAATGCTTATGTGTTGGAATGAAAGCACTACATCAACTCCGAGAGTTAATGGTCGTAGACGGATTGTTCAAAGCACACGCTAGCACAGGAAAAGCAGACTGCATGTCAATATGGACGGCAACGGGACAGTCCCAACCATTTCTGCCTGTCGAAATCCCCCTGCTATTTACCAAGGCCTGTATTAGACACAGGCGCCTCAAAAGCCCTTTCATGATCTGTTGTTCTCCCAAACACGTCCGTTCATTGCTTCCTATCAATAAGGAACTTTCATTGACCACCGATGGGCTCTGCACCAGCCCGTGCTGAGAGCTGAAAATACAGAAATGAAAGACACAATGGCTAGCCTCAGAGAAACTTCAGTCCAGGTAAAGGAGGAAGAAACAAATAATTAAAATTTGGTGAGGGCTTGCCACAACAGGGGGGCGGGTAGTGTGGCATCCCAGAGAAGGGAACGAATAAGGGACAGAAAAGTGAGTTGTAGGGGAAGTCCCCAGAGGACCCCCATACTGGGGTGGGTTTTGAAAGACAAGTGGCCCTTTCTTAAGGGAGGAAAGCCTGTTGATGTATCACTCAGAACTCTTACTTGCAATCAACAGAAGCCAACTCTGGAGCACAAAAGCGAAAGATTACAAGAATGCTGGGTGACTTCCACGTTTGCTGAATGAGCTGATGGAGCTCCCCAAAGAACTTCTTGCAAGGGTCTCCAAGCCCACTGCAGAACTGCTGAGTCATGGAAACCATGCTGCAACTCCTTCAGAGCTTCTAGATGTTTAGTCTGTACTACTGTCACTTTCGTACCAGGGCCTCTGCATCCTAACGGCTGCTCTTCCCAGCCGGACACCTTCGTTACCAGCCTGGCCAGGGAAGTCACTGCCACGCCATGGCCACTGCCTTGTATTGCTCATTTCCAAATCAATAAATCACACAGAGGCAGCCGATGGAAGGAGCGTGACTCAGGCGCCTGTACTCTGATCTGCAAGGGGGCTGCGAACGTGAGATTTCTGGCTTGTCTTAAAAGACAAGACAAGGGGCACCTGGGTGGCTCAGTGGGTTAAAGCCTCTGCTTTCGGCTCAGGTCATGATCCCAGGGTCCTGGGATCGAGCCCCGCATCCGGCTCTCTGCTCAGCAGGGAGCCTGCTTTCTCCTCTCTCTCTGCCTCTCTGCCTACTTGTGATCTCTGTCTGTCAAGTGGATGAATAAAATCTTTAAAAAAAAAAAAAAAGACAAGTTCCCATGGTAGAACTCCCCAAATGTAGGCAGGGCTGTAAGACAATGCCAAGCAGCCAGAAAACATAACACATGTCCGCTGGAGACACGCTGAGCATTCCCATCAGGGGTGTTTCAAAACAAAATTCGGCCAAGTGAATTTGAAGACCTAATTGGTTTTATTAAGTAATTCATGAATCGGGCAGCATCCCATCCAGCAAGTAGAGGGAAGCTGAAAGGAGCTGTGCAAAATGGAAGTTTTTCAGAGGAAGGAGGATGGAGCTAGAAGTTATTTGCAAAAGAAAAGAAAGGATTGTTTCAGGCCAGCT